TTTTCAGGGGGGGGCCTGGGGCCAGTAGCCCATATCTTAATTTTGGTTGCCCCTGTCTGCCGGACAGTCCGGGTTTCGAATGTTGTGTCCGGGATTCATGGCAGCTGACACCCGGACACAACATTCAAAACCTGGACTGTCCGGGTGAATCCTGGACAGGTGACAACCCTAAATTTTCAGTGTGTGAGGGGCCCACTAAACCTAAAATGCCCCGGGCCCCCCAAGGCCTAAACTGGCCCTGCTCAGTGCCCGGTCTCCATTGGGGTCACTGTATATGGCACGGAGTGTGGAACTAATCTCATCCTGATTTGTAGGTGGAGGAGGACATTAGAGGGGGGACACGGCCTGGACCCGGTGTAACTGGCTCTTATATGGACCCCAGGGGAGGGCTCCCTGTATATGGCACGGAGTGTGGAGGAGGACATTAGAGGGGGGACACGGCCTGGACCCGGGAGCAGGTGTAACTGGCTCTTATATGGACCCCAGGGGAGGGCTCCCTGTATATGGCACGGAGTGTGGAGGAGGACATTAGAGGGGGGACACGGCCTGGGAGCCTGGTGAGGACGTGTTAGAGCCCTGTCAGGTTTTACTGCTGGCTCTGCTTCCCTTAAAGAGACTTCCTGTCCTGGAGGCACAACAGAAAGTTACAGCCCAGCACCCCATCACCTGACCAGGCACCCCAGACTTCCTGTCACTTCCAGAGACTTCCTCCCCCCAATGATGACTGGAGAGGAGACACAGGACGGGGGTTCTAACCCCCTAGGAACCATCTTCTGCCTGGAGTTCTATCTGAACCTGTTGGAAGCAGCGTGGGGGGTGTGAAGCTGCAGAGTCCCCCGAGACCCCCCTAGACACAGAGACGAAGGAAGGACGGACAAGTTTTATACGTTTAATAACCTTTTATAAATTCCATAAATAAACGTAGAAGAGAAGAAGTCCATCGGAGGTCACAGCGGAGGTCACAGCCGAGGTCAGCAGAGTCCTCGGGGAGGATTGAACTCTGACCCCCTATGGGACATTTCCCCGACACATTGTGAAGGAAGACAGAGGATCAGTATGAGGAAAGCTGCCCTGACTGGAGGATGGAAGGCACACTGGTAATGTCCTCCTCCACTCTTCCTTGACCTCCTTCCTCGGGTGGGCTACAAAACTACAACTTTCCATGGTCCGGGCAACACATGGAGGAAGACGCCAGAGCAGTGTGACCGGAGGATGGGAGGCACCACACCCCCCCTCGATCCATGGCCACTAAAAGAAGGGAAATGGCTTCCTCCCCCGGTGAGTCCTTTGATGGGCTACAAGGCTGGAACTCTTCATGAAGGACTTGCCGCAGTCCGGGCAGCAGAAGGGCTTCTCTCCGCCGTGGATCCGTTGGTGGGTCACCAGGTTGGAGCTCTTGATGAAAGATTTTCCGCACAGGGAACACACGAAAGGTTTTTCCCCCGTGTGGGTCCTTTGGTGGGTCACCAGGATGGACTTCTGGTTGAAGCTCTTGCCGCATTCGGTGCAGGAGAATGGCTTCTCGCCGGTGTGAATGCGCTGGTGGCGGATGAGGTGCGGGTTACTGGAGAAGTACTTGCCGCACTCGAAGCAGAAGAAGCGCGTGTCTCGGGGCGGAAATCGCGGCTGCCTGGAGAAGCGCCGGTCATAGTAGGACTTCCCCACGGTGGCTCCTCTCTGTGGCACTACAACATTTACGTTTGGGCTACCGCCAAAAGTCTTCCACCAGTCAGGATAAGGGGCGGGTTTATCCGCCACACAAGGTCTCTGATTGGTCTGGGAAGGCATCCTGTTAGAGAAGTTCTCTCCGCGCTTGGTGCAAGCTACAAACATTGAGCTGTGGAGGTGATCGACGTCCCAGCTGTTGTATCCCAACATGGCGGCATCACCATACAGCTGGTCAGCTGGCGCGTACGTGGTGAGCTCGGGTTCTTCATACATGTCTATGGGTAAGAAGATGTCCGGGAACTCTCCTTCCACACATGACCCCTTATCATAAGAAGATGGATAGCGTGTGCCGGCTGTCAGACCATTCGTTCCCCTCCTGGGGAGACCTACGTCCTCACAAGAGGGGGGTTCTTCTTTAATATAGGAAGATGGATACGAGTGTGGATGGCCTCCAGGGAGATATAGGTCAGGCTCTTGTGGGTGTGCTGCGTCACATGAATGGGGCTCCTCCTTAATTTGAGTACACAGACCCCCCTGCAGAGTGGTATCAGTATTTGGGAGGTTCCCTTCTCTGGACAGACGAGGCTCCTCCTTCATTGGGGTAGATGGGTACTGTGTGTGACCTCTGAGATCTCCTCTACACAAGGCTGGGCCTTCATGACTATGAGGAGACTGGGCGCTGGGAAGGTCAGGCCCACGGTTATATCGGTCATCGTTTGGGAGGTTCCCTTCTCTGGACAGACGAGGCTCCTCCTTCATCGGGGTAGATGAGAGATCTCCTCCATACGAGTCCAGGCCTTCATGACTGTGAGGAGATGTGTGCTGGGTGGTAGGAAGGTCCGTGAGATTTGCCCCCTCCTTCACAGGAGTCACACAATTTAGGGGTGTATAAAGCTCCTCCTTCCCCAACACATCTCTCGGGCACATCTTCTGCTTCACAGATTTCAGGCTGTTCCCCTCAGAATGACTTTTCATGGAAGGACGGTGGTGGAATCTTCTGGAAGAGACTTCATCAGCCAACGATTCCTCTAAAAGAGACAAGAAACGTTTAGTCAGAACAGGACTGAGACTTCCTAAGAACCCGACTCTCCATCGATCTCCTCAGACCAACCAGACCTCTACCTCCGGCCAACCAGACCTCTACCTGTGCTGGAACTCTAACCTCAGACCAACCAGACCTCTACCTCCGGCCAACCAGACCTCCGGCCAACCAGACCTCCGGCCAACCAGACCTCCGGCCAACCAGACCTCTACCTGTGCTAGAACTCTAACCTCAGACCAACCAGACCTCTACCTCAGACCAACCAGACCTCTACCTCAGACCAACCAGACCTCTCCCTCAGACCAACCAGACCTCTCCCTCAGACCAACCAGACCTCTCCCTCAGACCAACCAGACCTCTCCCTCAGACCAACCAGACCTCTCCCTCCGGCCAACCAGACCTCTCCCTCCGGCCAACCAGACCTCTCCCTCCGGCCAACCAGACCTCTCCCTCCGGCCAACCAGACCTCTACCTCCGGCCAACCAGACCTCTACCTCCGGCCAACCAGACCTCTACCTCCGACCTGGTAACAGCAAATACAATGGAGGTTATGTAAAGTATAAACCTCTATAGGTCACAGTCTTCAATGGCTGGTACAGGAAGTAATGTAAGTAAAACTCATCTTACCGGGAGCCGAGAGGGACTGGTGGTCCTCCATGATGACGTCCTTGTAGAGATCCCGGTGTCCTTCTAGATACTCCCACTCCTCCATGGAGAGATAGACAGAGACATCCTGACACCTTATAGGAACCTGACACACACAATGATACCGTCACCACCCAGACACGCCCCTTGTCTGTTCCTGGATCATGTCCCAGAATCCCCGGCACCTCTCCCGTCACCACCCAGACACGCCCCTTGTCTGTTCCTGGATCATGTCCCAGAATCCCCGGCACCTCTCCCGTCACCACCCAGACACACCCCTTGTCTGTTCCTGGATCATGTCCCAGAATTCCCGGCACCGCCCACCTCTCCCGTCACCACCCAGACACGCCCCTTGTCTGTTCCCGGATCATGTCCCAGAATCCCCGGCACCTCTCCCGTCACCACCCAGACACACCCCTTGTCTGTTCCTGGATCATGTCCCAGAATTCCCGGCACCGCCCACCTCTCCCGTCACCACCCAGACACGCCCCTTGTCTGTTCCTGGATCATGTCCCAGAATCCCCGGCACCGCTCCCCTCTCCCGTCACCACCCAGACACGCCCCTTGTCTGTTCCTGGATCATGTCCCAGAATCCCCGGCACCGCTCACCTCTCCCGTCACCACCCAGACACGCCCCTTGTCTGTTCCTGGATCATGTCCCAGAATCCCCGGCACCGCTCACCTCTCCCGTCACCACCCAGACACGCCCCTTGTCTGTTCCTGGATCATGTCCCAGAATCCCCGGCACCGCTCACCTCTCCCGTCACCACCCAGACACGCCCCTTGTCTGTTCCTGGATCATGTCCCAGAATCCCCGGCACCGCTCACCTCTCCCGTCACCACCCAGACACGCCCCTTGTCTGTTCCTGGATCATGTCCCAGAATCCCCGGCACCGCTCACCTCTCCCGTCACCACCCAGACACGCCCCTTGTCTGTTCCTGGATCATGTCCCAGAATCCCCGGCACCGCTCACCTCTCCCGTCACCACCCAGACACGCCCCTTGTCTGTTCCTGGATCATGTCCCAGAATCCCCGGCACCGCTCACCTCTCCCGTCACCACCCAGACACGCCCCTTGTCTGTTCCTGGATCATGTCCCAGAATCCCCGGCACCGCTCACCTCTCCCGTCACCACCCAGACACGCCCCTTGTCTGTTCCTGGATCATGTCCCAGAATCCCCGGCACCGCTCACCTCTCCCGTCACCACCCAGACACGCCCCTTGTCTGTTCCTGGATCATGTCCCAGAATCCCCGGCACCGCTCACCTCTCCCGTCACCACCCAGACACGCCCCTTGTCTGTTCCTGGATCATGTCCCAGAATCCCCGGCACCTCTCCCGTCACCACCCAGACACACCCCTTGTCTGTTCCTGGATCATGTCCCAGAATCCCCGGCACCTCTCCCGTCACCACCCAGACACGCCCCTTGTCTGTTCCTGGACCATGTCCCAGAATTCCCGGCACCGCCCACCTCTCCCGTCACCACCCAGACACACCCCTTGTCTGTTCCTGGATCATGTCCCAGAATTCCCGGCACCGCTCACCTCTCCAGTCACCACCCAGACACGCCCCTTGTCTGTTCCTGGATCATGTCCCAGAATCCCCGGCACCGCTCACCTCTCCAGTCACCAGCTCCATCATCTTGGTGATCAGTTCCAGGATCTTGCGATCACTGACTCTCTCAGAAGCCAGCGAGGGAAGTGCAGGTTCTGTGACGGGGCTCCGGGTTCTGCTATGACCTCCCGAAATATGGTCCTCACCCGACTTCCTCACCACAACATAATCCTACAGAAGGAGAGACATCCCAGAATTCTGCCTCAGCGAGAGTCATGTGACCTGAAGGTCAGCTCTGTGTTTTATTAATAAGGATAAGAGTGTTGTCATGTGACCTCTCAGAATCCTCCTCACCTCTCCGGTCATGTGACCTCCCAGAATCCTCCTCACCCCCTCCGGTCAGGTCATGTGACCTCCCAGAATCCCCCTCACCCCTCCGGTCAGGTCATGTGACCTCCCAGAATCCCCCTCACCTCTCCGGTCAGGTCTGTGTGTTATGAATAGAGATAGGAGTGATGTCATGTGACCTCCCAGAATCCCCCTCACCCCTCCGGTCAGGTCTGTGTGTTATGAATAGAGATAGGAGTGATGTCATGTGACCTCCCAGAATCCCCCTCACCCCTCCGGTCAGGTCATGTGACCTCCCAGAATCCTCCTCACCTCTCCGGTCAGGTCATGTGACCTCCCAGAATCCCCCTCACCTCTCCGGGCAGGTCATGTGACCTCCCAGAATCCTCCTCACCTCTCCGGTCAGCAGGTAGATGATCTCCAGGGTCAGGCTTAGTATCTTGGTGGCCATCTTGTTTCTGTCCTTCTCCATCTTGGCGCACCTTGTTACATCACTTCTGAAAAGACAACACACGGTCGGTGATCACGTTCTGATGGTACACAATGTAGTCCTAGTCATGTCCTCCTTCTATGTGGTCACCCTAT